TCCATATTTCAAAATCTGTACTGGATTTAATGACATCTGAAAGAAAAAACAAAATTCAGTCAGAATCTTAATCACACTCTTGTAGAATAGAGTGAAATTTTAAAAGTACAAACAGCCACTACCGTTACATGAATTCAATACTGTAGAGAACGTAACCCCTTGAATTTTAAAAAATTATATGTTTGATAATTACGCATATATATATACTGTGCAGATTAAGACACTGACACATTTGTCGAGATAATTTAACATCCTGTAATCTTTCCAGTTGACAACCCCCCCCCCCACACACACACTTTGATGTTATTTTAAGTAAATGTGAGTTATAGAAAACAGTTGCTCCACCATGATCAACCATGTCAACTCATTTAGTACCAATTCAATACATAATTCTCAGAGAGAGACTATGCTCCATTCACAAAGGCTGCCGTCTTAGGAAAAAAGGATGAATATCGGAAATTGGGTCAAATCACTATTCGTCCTTTTCCCATAAAAAGCTAATTAAAACTTCATCAATCTGTTATGAAAGAATGACTTTTGTCTTCTCACACAAAATTTTGCTGATATTTCCTAACAAAATTTTAACTACAAGTGCATAATTGCACCATCCCTCCTCCTGCAAAAAATCAAGTTAAAAATAAAATAAAAAACCAACTTTTTAAACGTGAGACGAATAAATTTGATTTTTTGGCCCTCCAGGAAAATGGGTATGTTGCGATATTCGTCCTTTTTCCCTAAGAAGGCAGAAGTATTGACCGCCAATATACACACATTCTCTTATTCTGCCAGTGTCTTAACGTCTTCGTTGTTTTATAACACACCTAATACACCACAAAAAGGCATAATATATAATTTCTATTTTTGTGCCACAGCAGTTGACAAAAATTTACAGATTCTGATGGCTATATTTATATGACGTTAGATGTACATCATGTTAATGAACTGGCTTCTTCTTTCCTATCAAACATCTATCGTCCTTATCTCCCCTTTTTCTTTTTTATGTTTGTTACTCTCTTGTAACACCTCTAACCTTCTGGCGCTCATATGACCTTATGCAGTTGCGAGTGCCGTAAAACCTCTACTAAAACGAAAAACGAACTGGCTTTTATTCTTTTGTGTAGAGATTTAGCCATAAACAATGTGGATTCCTATACTATTCAAGAACAGAAAATGAGCATTATATTGACATCAAATTTGCTAGTTCCGCTGGTAGTATTAGTTTACTGCTAAGCTTGAAAACTATCGATAAACACACGTCTAGTTGTAGTAGTCTAGTCTTTCGGATGATTTTATAGAAGGGAGTTCTAGAGGCTCAGACAGCACCAGAAATTCAAGAATCAGGGCATTTTTACCCTAGTTATAGTTTCTTGACCAAATGCTTGAAACTTGTCTACCAAGCTAATTTGGGGGAGGAATTCAATGGTGACGTCAAAAAGTAAAAAATATGAATATTCGATTAGCTAATTAGCATAATAATTTGAATAAATTATGCTAAAATTGCAAAATGACGTTCTCAGTGAAAAAAAAAATCTGTTGTCTAAAGCCTACTTACAAAAAAATAGACAAAAGAAAATATCAGGGCCCCCAAAAACTGATATATATATATATATATATATAGTTTATTAAATAACTATTTAATAAATTATAAGCAAATTAGCATAATTTGAATAAATTACGCAAAAATCTAAAAATTATGTTTTTGGCATGAAAATCAGCTTGTTTAATACCCAGTGCATATTGGGGGATCGGTTGTCCATCACAAACCGATTGCCCAACTCGAGGCCTTGAAACTAAACACATAAAATATTTGGGGGGGGGGGGTCATTGTCAGCTTCGTTCGGTTTGTGTTACGATGGTCGCTTTTCGCCCTCAATCTGGCTAGCCCTGACTACGAAACTGAACCGATTGTGCCCGTGGGCATTGGGTATTATTATTAAGGTAAAAAATAAACGGATATTCCAGCACCCAAATTGATGATATAAATTTATCAAATGATAAAAAAAGCAAATGAGACTACCAAATTAGGGGAAACTTGATTTAATTTTTCGAATATCTTGTCAGTTTGTTAGTGTTGAGCGCT